AAGAATTTCACCACCCCTCAAAACGACCCTTTACTAAATTTTATTAAAAAAAATTGAGTAAAAAAATGCACAATAATAACTACAAAAACTAATTCTGTCAAATTATCCATGAAAAAAACATTGAAATAAAATTAATAAACTTAAAGTAATAGTAGTTTTTTCATGGATAACTTGACAGAATAAACGACTTTAATGTTGTTTTTAAGGTTGATTTAACGCAATATTTACTCAAATTAAATAAATTCGCAAAGATGCACTATTTTAACTTAAAATGCTGGTTGGGAACGCCTTCAAACGTAAGAAAACTACAAGTTTAACTGAAATGGCCACCATACTCTTAAAATGCCTCCAAAATTAAATTAAAACAACTATAAAAAATTACAACATGATACAAAATATTTGTACATTTTTTCTGATATTTCATTCTACATTTAAATCCAACAATAAGTAGGTAAAGGTCGCGTACAAATACATAGATTATATAGATATATAAAAAAAGAATTTATTTATAACGTCATTTTAAATCGAGCAAACTGGATTAAAAAAACATGGGGTAAATTTTTACTAATTACTAATTAATTACTAATCAATACAGGTAGGTACTTTATATTACAATCATAACAATAAAACTTTTTTTAGATTTTATTACTCTTACGAATATACAGAGTGTCCCATGTTGCCGCGTTTAAAACTTCTTAAACTAATAAAATACGAAACCTTATAAGATAATTTAATATGGAGTAACATGTTCATCATTTCGTTACAATAATATTGCAAAATATAAAAATTAAGCAAGTATGACTTTTATTAAAGTTGTTCAAGGCCAGCTGGATTAAAAAAAATTATATCTCATTTTGGTTGAAATTGAATTTTTCCAGTGTATTTTTATTATAACGATAATTATTATTTGTTGCCTGAGCATTTTTAAACCGATTGTGGTATTTTTTATCATAATTATATGCATTCTTTGACCTATACAAATTTAATTTATATTTATTTATGATTTGGTTGATTTTTATATTTCACGTAAATAATTAAATAATCTTTATTTAATTTGCGGCTATAAACAAATAAGCAGGAACATTTTGCGATTTATTTTTATGATGGTAATAAATTTATTATTGTTAGTATTTGGTTTTATCATTTCCATATAAAAACTACAAAAACAGTTCAAATGTAATTAATTATAAAATGGTAACATTTTAAATTTTAAGAAACCATAATAGTATATTATGTTTCAAGTTTTATAAACCCCATTTTAATTACGAGTTTTATTAGGCACGTACTTTTTCTATTTTGCGTTCATAATGACTTCATTATGACACCGCTTTCGGTGCTGTAATGAGATACTTTATCCCATCCAAAATTTTGATTTTATAGGTTGGCTATACTTTAAACAGCATAATATTTTGCATATTGGTTCTAATATTTTTATGATTTTTCTAGTACTTACGAGACTTTTCTGGCAATAAATTTTGTTTAGCAACAAAGAAAATCCTTTTTTCTTCTTTAACATTAACAGCCGCTTATTGTAAATAAGTAAATTAAGGACGGCATGGCGAATCGATTTTGACATTAACTGTGATACCAACTATATAAAGTAAAATTCGACCAAATTAAATTTTAGGTATAAAATTGAGATATTTTTTTATAGAAGTTTTGCAAAATAGATAAAATATCATAAAGAACTCATGTCATAAGACCTTTTGTCGCACTCGTCCATTACAAAACTCGCTCCTTCGTCATTTTATTTGTTAAACATTTTACATCTGTCAACTGTCAACGGATTTAACCTCACTGTTGCTAACTTCATCCCGTGACTAAAACACCATAAATTCACAGCTTATCGATAAATAATTTTATAATTTTTTTAAATTTTATTACATGTTCTACCTTTTAATTTCCATGTTAACTCATGACAAACATTTGTAGTCTATTGTTTTTTTATTTGCAACAAAAACAAAATAGATTGTTATTGACATATAGTAATTATGTTTAAAAGGTTTGTTAACATAACATTTATTTATACAGCTTTCCATAGACGAGTAAATAACATTTTCATTTAACCTTTTGTCATTACAGCGACTAGGTATATAAATACAGGGTACAGAAGTGCAAAATCTGAAGAAAAAAATCCCAAGGCTTTATAAAGCAGACTTTTTCAAGCGATTTTTCTTAAAAACGGTCAAAATTTGTTATTTCATCTTTAAAAGGGCGTAGCTTCCTTATTAAGCATTTTGCCACTTTTAAATTAACCGATTTTTGAAGTATCCAAACAGCAGTTTTGCAAAAATGGCGAATGCACCGGGAAATATAAAAAAATAGCAAGAATTTAATATTAAGAAACTAATTTTGTAATATAATAGAAAAGTGAAAATAACATGCGAAAAAATATTATTTTTTAATAACCATAGATATTTGTTAAATATTGCAAATAATTACTAATTATTAAATTTGTACACACCGAAAATATGTGTAAATAATCCTATGTGTATATTTGAATTAGAAGAATAAAGTGAAAGTACCTTATATATTTCTAAATCGCTATTTGGCAAGATTGGTTAAGATATGTATTTATTAAATACCTATTAGATTTTATGCCTACAATAAATGATGGGCAATTTTTTGGGAATTAGTCTTATAAGAGAAAGGCCACATAGGACACGGATTAATTGTATTTTTCTGGTACGTTTTAGTTTAAAAATTTAAGGTGCTTGATGCAACAACTGGACCATTCCAATTTTTATTTATTAACATTATATTATTATAATATAATTATAATACTATACTTTATTTACTCCAATAAGTAGATATTTACCAGCTGTGGCTTTATGGCGCTTAAGTAACGGGCTGAAGTTAGCAACAGGTTTATAGTCACGGGCTGAAGTTAGTTTTAAGTTAGTTGTCAGTCATACAATCGTTAAAATAAAGTGCCTTTTCAGTAAATTAATACTAAATGTGAAAATTATTTTATTATCTCAATACAAAAATACAAAAGTATTAAACAGTTTCTTGACGCCGATTATATGAACATTTTTACTGACATTTTGATTTCGCCGTAGTAGTGCAGTTAACTGGATTTAACTGATAAAGCGTTAAAAATTTTGCGTACAGTGCCCTTAAAACATTCTCTTCTCTTTTACTGTTAAAAACTGCTTGTTAGTCTTTTTTCAAGGGATTTTGATTTACACAGTAAAATTTGAGATTTTAACGCTGGTAGATTCCCAAGTTAAAAATTCTAATGCACTGAAAGAAATTTGTTGCTAAAAGTAAACACAAATTTATACTAAAAATTTTATACTAGTGCTTTACACATTTATACTACTGTTTATTATGAATGTATGTTAAATTCTGTAATACATTTATTGTAAAGAAGATATGTTAGATCTAAATAAAAATAAACTTACCCTTACTATAAAATGTAAACTATAAGTGAATTACAGCAAAAAAATATTGCTAGAAACACATTTATATTGCTAGGGCAGCAATAGGCTGCTAACCAAACGAATATATTTGTTTTATCAATGTATGTGGTAGTCCAAATATGAAACATAAAATATATTTGCCCTAATTATTTTTTTATTTAACTTTAGTATATATTTCTTTCAGTGTGGGAATTCCAATAAATACAATTGTAACTTTTTGTATTATTAAGTAATTTAAATTAAATTCGTGACTAAAATGGCGTTTATCAAACTTGATACATAATATACTATTATCTACTCCTTCATTGACGAGCTGTGACTTTATGGCGTTTTAGTCACAGACTGAAGTTAGAAACAGTGGCTTTTAAGCTTTTTAGTCACGAACTTAAGTTAGCTTTATTATAAATTGGGAAAAGGTGTGGTTAAATTCGGGTGACAGTTGACAGATGTCAAATTTTTATCAAATAAATATATACTAAATATCGAGCTAAATATACTATACTTGATCTGTAGCCAATTTTAATATATAGGTAGTGTTTATTGTCTTTGTCGACTTTGTTGTTTTTTTAATTTTTTTTGAGTTTAGAATTTGAGGATTTGGAAGAAGAGAGGGTTAAATAAAAAAATTATTAATTAGGAATGAAAATCTTCAATAAGCGTTTTAAAATGTAAAAAGTTTTAATTTTTAATAATTTTGACCCACTCTAATAAAGGTTGTCCCATAATTATCGTGCAATACTTTAACAGCAGATTCCACGTACAAAAATAAGAAAAAAGTTCCCACTTTTATTGTGTTTTGATGTTTCATAATTAAGTAGATATTACAGCTCAGGTTCCAGATTTTTAACCGCAATTAATTATTTTTTACAATGTTTTAAAAGTCTAAAACCTATCCTCCGTGACTGTTACTCTTTCTAGGTTAACCTATATGTTTTCAAATATCTGAGGTAGTAAAAGCATACTAAAAATATTAGTTCACTAAGTAAATTAAACACATCCAAAGCAATCGAATCAAATATAAAGCATTATTAAAAATTTAAAGAAATAATTTTTATAACCATTTATGTAGGTGTTACAAAAATTGATTCTATCCTCCGTGAATATGTTTTTGCTTTAAATTTTATGCAACGGATGGCGCTTTAATCATTTTAAATAAGCAAAAACCTCTGTTTACCACATTATAGATGCATGTGATTCCTGAAGGTCAGTTAGAATTTATATGCAAATGAGAGTGTTGCTGTTTTATATTTCAAAAGTTTAAGTTCATTAATTTGCTATTTAAAAACCTATCCACCCTGAAGTGTAATATCCCAGTAAGTATTTATTTATAAATATTTTATGTATGTATTGTATTTTTTATAAATATACAAAAGAATGTTTAAACAGTGAAACAACCAAAAAAATTTTTGGATGGAATTCGGAATCAGGAAAAAAAATTAGAGGTTTAATATTAATAAATCAAGATTGTTTACCAAAAAAATTAATGTAACCAAATTTAATCGCGCAAAAAATAAAAAATGGTTTGCCAAACTCGTTTTTCGTCGACCATTGTTTTTCATTTGTATTTTTTTTCAGATACCCGTATAACTACGCCGCGCCAACCTTGACCACGCCATGAAATAAGAAACGACCATCATCGCAAGGCAAACATTCAAATTATTTTTCTAGTCAGATCGACGTCGACCGACGAAATGGGATCCTCGAAGCCTCGAAGCCTGTCGAAAACCATAAGCGAAGTGGTCGGTTTTTTGCTGTTGTCTGCGTTTTATATCGTGCAGGCGATAGTCAAGTTTTTCTTGCCCAAAAAGTACCACAACTATAAGGACGTCAAGGGGGAGATCGCCCTAGTTACGGGGGGCGGAGGGGGGCTGGGAAGATTGCTGGCCCTTAGGTTGGCTAAACTTGGTGCCACAGTTGTGCTATGGGATATTAATGTAGCCGGTAAGTAATTTTTAAGTAATTTATTGACTGTCGGAATCATTTTACTTTATTTAACAATCTTACGTAAGTTTTTATTATTTGTAAAAAATTAATTAGTTAACGTTTAAAAATTAATTTAATGTAGGCAAGAGCGAGTGGTTAATTAAATGAATGCCTTGAAAAGTTTATAAACGATTTGCATACTATAGTTTATCTACGACAAATACTTAATATTACCTAAAAAATAATTTAATTTAAATATTTGTATAAAGCGACATCTATACGAAAATAAAGTAACCATCCCAATAAACATTTTTGACGTAATTTTCATGTTAATGGGCCTGTTATTATTTTAATTAAACTTAGCAATTATTGATAAAATATAAAAAAATACTTGTTTTTTATTACTATTGCAAAATATTATCACGAAGTATTAAAAATTCTTACACGGACAAAAAGTGAGTTGTATTAATTGAAAATCTTGTTAGAATTTTTAACTTGGGAATCTACCGGTTAAAATCTCAAATTTTTCTTTGTTAATCAAATTTTTTCCCTTAAAAATAGACGATATAGAAGCAGTTTTTCACAGTAAAAGAGAAGAGAATGTTTTATGGGCACTGTACGCAAAATTTTTATCGCTTTATCAGTTAAATCTAGTTAACTGCATTACTACGGCGAAATAAAAAAGTTCATACGTCTATTTAAAAGGTCATTTACTGTCATGGAAACTGTTGGATTTTATTTAATGACTTCAATAGGTGTTTGCGTAATTATGTGAATGGTCAATAAAAAGCACAATTGTATTTAAGAACGAGATAACTAAGTAGGTACACTTTATTGATAAGTAGGTAACAAATAACTTTTAGAGATAAATACAAATAACATCTGTGACGACTATATTTCGCTGAGGGTGGTTTCGGACTGACTCTACCTCGTAGTATATTTTAAAGTCAAGGGTACGAATGCCGTAAATGTTTCACTCGCTTGCCATGTGGTTTATTTCCTATTTTATAAACGTTGACTATTGTTGTTGCACAATATTCCAACACCCTTCCTCAACAATAATAATCCTATTTTTTGATTAAAAAAGATTGCACGCCTTTCGCATCGCTTCCAACTTCAGAGTGCTTAGCGGTTTTGTAAACATGTCGGCTAACATGTATTCTGTAGCACAATATTCAAAACACATTAAATTCTGTTTCTTTAGGTCCTTTAAAAAATGATATTTTGTATCAATGTGTTTCGTTCTGTTGCTGAATTTTGAATTACTTATGTATTTCAAACAACTTTGGTTATCTTCGTACATAATGGTAGCTTGATCCTGATTTTGACCGAAGTCTCCCAATAGTCGGCGGATCCAAACCCCTTCTTGACAAGCTTCTGCCAGCGCAATGTATTCAGCTTCCATTGTTGACAGGGCGATACAATTTTGTTTTTTGCATCCCCAACTTATTGGACTTCCATTAAATTTAAACAAATGCCCACTATTTGACTTTCTGTTTTCATTGCTTTGTGCCCAATCTGCGTCACTGTAACCATACAGGTGTTTATTTGGGTCATCCTTATTACCCAGTTTTAAAGTCAGTTCTTTAGTGCCTTTCAGGTACCGAGCGACCCTCTTTGCTTCCACCCAGTCGGGGTCGGTCGGTGATTTATTGTATTGGCTTAAAATACAAACACTTGCCGTAATGTCTGGCCTCGTATTTACCGATATGTAAAGCAATGCTCCAATTAATTGCTGATATTTTTCGCCATCCTTCATCGCTTCCTGTTCCTTAATCCTGGATTTATTGTACTGTGGGTCCAATGGATAATTCGAGGTTTTTGCGTCTTGTAACCCGAAACGAACTAATAATTTACATATATAGTGCGTTTGATTAATCCGATAAAAACCATCATCATCCTTGTTCACTTGTATCCCAAGATAGTGCTTTAGCTCCCCTAAATCCATCAGAGCAAAATGATTTTTAAAAAATTCTGCTGTCTGCTTTACTAGCCTTTTATCACTACTTGCAATTAAAAAATCATCTACGTAAACGACAATGTAAATGACTTTCCCTTCCTCGGTTTTAATATACAAGCATGGGTCTGCTTGACTTTGGTTGAATTGGTGGCCTTTTAAAACAATGTTCAATTCATCATTCCAGGCTTTTGCTGCCTGTTTTAACCCGTAAATGCTTTTGTTTAATTTACACACCATTTCTTCTTTGTCAGGCTCTAAATAACCTTCAGGTTGTCGCATAAAAATTGTTTCTTTAAGCACCCCGTTCAAAAAAGCTGTTTTTGCATCATAATGTGCAATAAAGAGTCCCTCTTTACCTGCTATGGTCAGTAGCAGCCGAAATGTCGTGTGCCTTACAACTGGGGCAAATATTTCGTCGTAATCAACTCCATATTTCTGGGAAAACCCTCGTGCCACTAACCTTGCCTTGTACTTATTTATGCTCCCTGCTGCGTCCCGCTTCGTTTTGAACACCCATTTACAACTGATTATGTCCCGACCTTCCGGCTTCTGTACAAGCTCCCAGGTATTATTTGACAATAACGAATTAATTTCTTCGTCCATTGCCGCCCCCCATTCCTTTGAATTTGGTCCAGAAAGTGCCTCCTTCCTGTTCTTTGGATCTTCGTTAAAACTAACCATCGTATACAGCTTTTCGTCTCCTGTATACCTGTGGGGTGGCACACCTTTATTCGACCTGTCGGATCTTCTTGGTTCTTCTTTGTCTTCATTCTTGTCTTCTATTTCCTGCAGGACTTCCACAGGTTCTTTAAAATTTTCCTGATTTTCTTGAACTGCATTTTCCAAATTTTGAAGACACGCCGTTGTTTTATTTTCCTTAGATCGTCTCCAATTCAACGTAATTTGAACTTTGTTACTTGGATCTTTACTTTTAATCGTTTTATTCTCTTTAAGTGGCTGTTTTACTTCTTGGTCATTGAGAAAAACGACATCCCGGCTTATCTTTATTTTATTGGTGTTTTTATCCAATAAACGATAACCCTTTGATTCTTCCGAGTATCCCACAAATAAAAATTCCACTGCCTTTTCATCCAATTTTCTTCGCAATTCTTTAGGAACATGAGCGTATGCTCTACAGCCAAAAACTCGCAGGTGGTCAACATTCGGCGCCTTTAAATGCCATAATTCGAACGGTGTTTTTTCTATACATTTTGATGGTAGCCTATTTTGCAAATAATTTGCGGTATTTATCGCTTCACCCCAATATTTCTTGTCCATGTCCGCGTCGTACAACATGCACCTTGCACTTTCCAAGAGTGAGCGATTTTTCCTTTCGGCCACACCGTTTTGCTCAGGTGTATAAGCAACCGTGTACTGAATCTGAATGCCCTCCATTTTCAGGTAATTTTTCAGTTCTTTGTTGACATATTCCTTTCCTCTATCCGACCGAATTATTTTTGGCTTTTTTCCCAAACTGGTTTTCATTTTTTCGACAAATTGCTTAATAAGTTCTGCCACTTCGGATTTTTGAGCCATTAAAAAAACTCTACAAAACCGGCTGTAGTCATCTATTATGGTCAAGGCGTACCGCTTTCCTCCAGGTGTCACCGTTTGCATGGGTCCGCAAACATCCGTATGAACAAGGTCTAAAATTTTGTTTGACCTGTTCTCCGACCTTTTTGGAAATGGTTTTCTTGCCATTTTTCCTTTAATGCAAACTTCACAAGTTTCCCGTATTCCGCAATCCGTAACTTTTATACCGGCCGCTAGTCCTTTGTTTTGTAAGTCTTTAATTGCTGCCACTTCGCGATGCCCGAAACGTCTATGCCACATGTGCTGACACTGTGTACTATGACCGCCCTTTATTGCTATACACGCTTTATTGTCTGCTTGCACCGGTACCGTTTGAAGCTCATAAAGTCCGGCTACCTGTTTGGCCGTTGCCCGCACTTTTTGTCCTTCCACAATATCGCACACGTTGTCCTTAAACAGCACTTTAAAACCTTTAGCTGTTAATTTCCGCACCGAAAGTAAATTAACTTCCAAGTTTGGCACAAACAAAACGTTGTCAATCTTTATATTAATGTCCTTATTGGCCCCATTGACAAACTTTACAACACCCGACCCGGTCCCTTTAATTTCAGCCTTTTGACCATTTGCTAGCCGTACATTTCCGTTCGTGTTTCGATGAAATTCCTTAAAGAAATCCTTGTTATTAACCATATGACTTGTCGCCCCCGAGTCGATTACCCAAACGTCCTTTTGTTGTCTTATTTGCAGGCCAAAACAAACACTCACTTCATGACATAAATCTGTCTCCACATTTGTTTGTGTCATAAAACAGGTCTCATCCACTTGATTTTCAGAATAACCATCTGTAACTGCATTTGCCCTTTCTTTATTGCACTTCCAAGCTTGATATTTTCGACAAAACTTTTTGTAATGACCAGGTTCTTTACAAAAATAGCACTGCTTTTTCTTTACCAAGTTCGCCGAATTTCCTGAATGCCCGGGTTGCCCTTTATGATGATGAGAAGCCGACGCCCTCATTGCCGTGTCACTTTCTTCATCCCTTGTTTTTGATACACCTTTACGTCGACCATATTCGTCTAATAATTTTGCTTTCACTAGTTCCATTGTTAACTCCTTCTCATCCCTGCTTTCCAGTGCAGTAATTAGCGTGCCATAAGAATCCGGCAGACTACTTAATAGCATAGCAACAATTAACTGATTATTTAGCACCTCCCCCATGGCCGATAATTTATCCACCAACTCCATCATTAGGTTTATATGGAGTTCCATATTACCGCCTTCTTCTAGAGTTAATCTGCATATCCGCTTTAACAAGAAAACTTTGGTGGATAGCGATCCCTTCTGGTGGATGTCCCTTAATGAATTCCAAGCGTCGAGAGCATTTTTTGCTTGTCTAATGTGGATTAACTGGCTATCTTCGACAAGGAGTCCGATTGCTGCTCTAGCTTGATCATCCTTTCTAATCCAGGCTTCGTCTGGAACACCTGGCCTTGGCTCAGCGATCACGTCCCATATCCCCTCACTG